GTATTTTTATATCACTAAATAATTGGAATTGAATTGGAATTGCAAAAAATAATTTAAAATTGCAAAATAAAAAAAAGAACTGAAGATAATGAAACTCCTGCCAATTTTGAAATATCAACAAAAATTTTTTTTTTGATTCAATATTTTTTTGTACTCATTTTAACCCGATAACAATAATAACCAATACTTAGTACCATTAAAATTAAACAAAAACACGTTAGCTTCCGTGTGCAAAAAAAAATATTTAAACTTTGGTAAGTAGTTTTTTAGTTATTAATATATATGTATTATATATATATATATATATATATATTAATGTAACATATATATATATATATATATATATATATATATATATATATATATATATATATATATATATATAGATATACATATATATATATATATATATATATATATATATATATATATATATATATATATATATATATATATATATATATATATATATATATATATATATATATATATATATATATATATATATATATATATATATATATATATATATATATATATATACTAAAGCCCCACGAAGCTTTGAAATTTCGAGTTGAATCGAATCAAATATGTGATTTAAAATACGATTCGAAAATAAACAAAAATCGAATCCTGATTATTATTATTTTTTTGGTATTTTTTTCAGTTATTTGGCGCTTTCGCCCTATCCAAACAATGTTACTTATCCGTAAATACCTTTTTAATTATTCGCTAAAAAGGTTAATCAGGGAAAGAAGCACCAAAAAAAAGTTTATACAATTATTTTTTATTTTATTATAATTATTATTTTTTTTAATATATTATTAAAAAAAAGCTTCAATTTAGACTGCAAACTATTTATTCGAAACGTGATTCGAAACGCGAATCAAGACCTGCTTTTATTGGAGATTTAATTTGAAACAAAAAAATGCTGATTTGCAGGGCTCTAATATATATATATATATATATATATATATATATATATATATATATATATATATATATATATATATATATATATATATATATATATATATATATATATATATATATATATATATATATATATATATATATATATATATATATATATATATATATATATATATATATATATATATATATATATATATATATATATATATATATATATATATATATATATATATATATATATATATATGTATATATGTATATACAAATATGTATATATTTAATGCGGTAGTGGTGTAGTGATAGAGCGCTCGCTTCGTAAGTGAGAGGTTCCGAGTTCAATCCCCACCACGTCCCTGGTAGTACCATGCTTAACTTGTTTCTCCGCTCAGCGGCCTTGTTCGTCAAGGTTCGTGTTTCGGAGTTAAAGAGTTGAGAGAGGGTTATAAACAAATATATGTAGCCTCCTCGACTGTAGTGGCCTTGAGCCTTGAGGAGGTGAATTAATAAAAAAAATATATATATATATATATATATAAATTAGTAAAAAACACTTATCTAACTTTTTTCTTCGACTTCAAGCTTCACCATTGCTGGATCATCAGGAAGCTGATGATCGACCAAGCTTCCTGATGATACAGCAATGGTGAAACTTAAAGTCGAAGTAAAAAGTTAAATAAGTGTTTTTTACTAATTTATTATTGCTCTGTTCTTTAAGAACATTGAGCACTCTATTTGTAAAATATACTAACATAATATACATATATATATATATATATATATATATATATATATATATATATATATATATATATATTATATATATATATATACATATGTATATATATATATATTTATATATATACATATATATATATATATATATATATATATATATATATATATATAATATATATATATATATATATATTATATATATATATATATATTTATATATATATATATATATATATATATATAGATATAAAGTTTATGCTGAGTGAGTATGTATAAACTTTGTATTTTGTGCAATCAAAAGGTTTTGTTTTGTAGTAAATAAAAAGGAAATAAAAATAAATTAGTGAAGAAATGTCTATTGCTCTTGTATTGAGTAGATGAAGTTGAGAAATTAGTTCAATGGCTACCAGACACGTCAGAGGAAGAATTTAATTTAATCAAAATCTTGTTGGAAAAAAGAACTAGAAACATGTGCAATGGCTGTAGACAACTTGATTCTAAATTGTCTTCGTGAATTTGCAGAACAAGGTATTTTCTATTTCATTTGTAACCTTATGTGCCTTGCCTGTAAGTCAAGTTTAGCCTGTAACAAAGGCTTTAAGAATTAATTAGAGTGGATAGAGATAGAAATACTCTTCTTGGCAACTATGGAAAACCGCCATTCTCTAAATGCATGGATGAATTATGTAAGTTTAATTATCTTATATATTATAATAGTCTTACATATGTACTTTTGTGAAATAAATATTATTTACATACTATTACTCGCCATGATATTTTTTTTAATGATTTTAATGGCGATTGGGATGTATAATAGTTATGCACTATT